AGAGAGTGAGAGAGAGGCAGAGAGAGAGCGAGGCACAGAGAGAAAGAGAGAGAGAGGCAGAGAGGCAGAGGATCGGATGTCCGGACTGATTAAACGATACTTGAAGGCTGGGTTTTCCAGGGCTGAGGGATGAATGACTTCAGAGTTTCGGGCTATGGGGCTCGGGGCTCAGAACCCGAGGCTGCCAAGTTGTGCGAGTCACTTGGCACCCATCGTCACCGCCGTCCGGCGCACTTCCTCACATCTTCAAGGGGGGCCGTGTCTAAAGCAAGAGGCATGCGCCCCCCAGAGGCACTGGAGTTCCGAAGTCACCAAACCAAGCATCTGTGGACGGCTCTGGACTGACAGTTTTCGGCTTCCTACACTCCCAAGTAGAAGCTTCAGAAATGGTAGACCTCCACATGATCCCTGAAGAAAGTACCCTTAATCTCATCGAAGACAAAATCCAAATCCTGCTGTCCCGGATGAGATTTTCTGCAGCGGAAGCCTTCCGACGTCATGCTCCTCTCCTTCAGAAACCCTCACCTTGTCAAAGCGGCACCACCTGACTCCCAAAAACCGAACCTGGCCAAGGCGCTCTGCAGCCCAAAAGCGCCACTGACACTCCAGGAAGGTGTCTTCCAAGTCCGGACGCCTTGGATCAAGGTCACCGACAAGGGTTCTGGGTTAGAGGATTAAAAATAACATTGGACCTACAGGAACCTAAATAACTGTGTGCACAGTAAAAAAACAAGAGGTTGTATCCATGATAGCATATTTAGGGGACGATAAGCGGATAAGAATTCCAATATTCTTTGGCAGTTTTCCGGCCTTTGTCGGAAGTGCCCTCTACGGGTTTCGCGAGTTGGAAATCATGGGATTTGCAAGCCAAGCACAAGAACCACCACCACATCATTATCTTTTTGTCCTTACAAGCACAGCGCAGAAGCATCAGCTTCAAATCTGAAGCCAAAGCCCCTACAACCGACACCCGGAGACCCAAACCAAAACTCGCAAGACAGCCGAAGCCTCACGGAACTTGCTGGCAGGCGCTGCCCGCAGCAGCACGGACCCTCCAAAGGAAGGCTTTTCAATCAACCCTGAGAAGGAATTATCAACCAACATCATGGCAGAGAGACGCAGAGAGTGCAGGGAGTGTAGACGGCAGTTCCCAGCAATATCGGCGCCGCCACGCTGGGGTATGGAGCCACTACAAGATGCGCAGGTCCTGCCCAGTATAAATATCTCCTTTTTTTAGCAGACGAGGACCGTCTCCGAGGCGAGGGATGCAGATTCGGCCAAATAAGATTGGTTCTTTGACAAAGACTGGAACCATCCATCCGAATCCCCCGAGAGCTGGTGCGAAGCCGGCGCTTGAAAATCGTGTCTGGTCTGCGCCGTGCCTGGGCCCGAAAAGTCTGGAATTACGTGCTCTGTACACGCGAAGGCACAGTTCTGTGCCTTCTGCGGCCTCCTTCCCCTCATCACTCCACGTCCTCCAGCACAGCAGAGGCTGGGCGGCTGCGCAGCAACCCGACGACCGCCGCTGACACAGCGAGGGCCGCACAGGCGAGAGCCAGCAGCACACTTGGGCGCAGGGTCACGCTGGAAGATGCCCGGAGGCTCGGAAGCGTGGCATCACTCAGACGCTGGAGCGGTAGGCTCTGCGCCGGGCACTTCTGCTGCAGGCACTTCTTGGCGGGCTCCAAATCCACACCACCATCCATGTACTGCTTCTCCACGTAGGAGACATCCGTGGCAGCACAGTTCAAGTGCACGTTGTCACAGCCCACAGTCTCAATGAGCCGGGCTGTGGCCCACATGCAAATACCTCTCAACTCGCAAGCGAATGCACGAGTTTTCTCATCAGAACCGTAAAGACAGCTACATCGATGTCCAAAACAGGAAAGCAAGAACAGCCGAAGTTGCACCAGCTGTCACCATGGTTTGCCCGGATTTCGTCGTCCCACTGAAAGGCCTCCTGCCCGGTGATTTGCCAGAAGTTGCCCTGGCAAGGGCAGAAAGGCAAGAAAGAACCCTCAGCCTGCTCCACTCGAAGGCCGACACACTCTTTAGGGTTTAGGGTTTAGGGTTCCTAAAAAATCCCTGTTTCACATGGGCCTTGGCTGTCCAGGAGTGCTCGGTTTTCTCGCAGAAAGATAGCAAACAAAAACGCGCTTTAGGAGCGTATAACAGGGCCCCCTCTGTAAATCTCTATCTCTTTCTCTCGCCAGGGTTAGCGGCCCAGGGGATAACCCCCCTAGCCTGCGCGCAATCTGTGTCTCTCTCCCTCCCCGCTCCACTTCACTTCACCTCACTTCGGCGCCAAGGAGACGTGGCACGTCTCCCGAGCGATTGGCCCACGCCTGCGTAAAGAGCTTGTTTGGCAGATGTGAGAACCGAGCCATACCTTCTTCTTTTGCGGGGCATGAGAGACTGGATAGGTATATGCCGCTCTGTCTCTCTCTCTTCTTTTTGCCTCCCTGCCTGTTACCTCTCTCCCTCCCCCAAACCTCTCTTCCCAAGCAATCTGCAGCCCCTCAAAACCCACAAAAGAATGCCTGGGCCCTTTTCAGAGCCGGGCCTTGCTGCCCCAGTCAAGGGGCTGCCCTTGGCCATCCAGGAGAGTAGCACAGACCCGGTGCGTCGGGTCGTGGTTGCACTTGAAATCCCCATAACGGGAGCCTTCAGGCTTCGGTATGTCCGAGACCGGGACCGGAAGGGAACATGACCCAAAGAATCCAAGCAGAGCGACCCCAAAGTTATTAAGTCATTTAGACCAGTGACCTTCACCGGGGCAGACGGCGATGTCTGTGGCCACTGCGCCGCCGACAAGGCAAGCGAGTGCGCCGACACGCATCATCAGGACTAGGACGAGGATCAAAGAATGGCAAGACTATCAACAGGGGCAGTGGCTAAATGCCTCTCGTGCAGCTGAAGCCTTAAAACGATGTCGAAACAGCATTTCGGAAAAGCTACTACAGCTACCAGACATGTGCACATGTGCGTGGCCGCCAGCCACTGGCGGTCACAGCAAAGCCGCAGACACGAGGTGTGACGAGAATCGCCAACGGGGCAGGGGCAGGGGCCGAGAGAAGAAGCATGATTCCTGCCTGCGCCGCGGAGATGGATTGGCAGGCAACCCGTCAGCCGTGCAGCCATGGGGATCGTGGCACGTGACGTTGTGAATGAAGCTCACAAACCCTGGCTGAAGCCAAACGGAGAAGACCAGGTCTTGAAACGATAAGCTCTCAGAAACCCTAGGCTCTCTATGCGCTTCTGCTTTAGGGCTTAGGGCGAAGTGCAAAAACTGGTTCAACCCCCAGATGTCCCCAGATCCCCCGAAGGCCCCCGAAAAAAAGCCGAGCCCGGTACGCCCATGGATGGGCGGACTGCTGATTGTGGGGACGTTTTTCCCGCCTGACCGAGGCTCCCCGACCACGGGGGGCTCAATGATTGGAAGAGAGGGTTTCCGGGCCTCTGAGTCCTATGCCACGGCTGATGATATAAACCCTGCATTGCCCATAATAAGGAATACACCATAAGTCCCAAAGTTTTTAGGGTCCTTAAGGTAAAGCAGGACTTACATCATCAACAGTACACCTCTAGCCGGGCCGCGACTCGCACTCGCACAACGCAAGCAAGGCTGCACAACCACCGACTTCACCTCTGCTTGGAACCAGCACAAGCCGTCTAACCGTCCGACACAGGGATTCTGGCTTCGCGCCCCATTCAGGGCCCTTGATAATTGGAGGCACGGCCCGGACCCACTGGCTTCGTCTGGAGCGACCCGAGGTTTCCGCTTCGGAGTTTCTGCTTTCATGGCAGCGAAAGGCCCTTGCGTTCGGAAGTCTGAAGCTCGGACCCTAAGACTAACGCCTTACGCCCATCCCTTGAATGGAGCTCCCCCCAAACCCTCAGGTCCGGAGAAAAGGCCTCAACCGTTGCAACCCAACAAACACTCAAACTCAAACCGGCGGAGACCCCTGAAACCGCTAAGCCCTTAAGCCGTCAAAACCGAACATTGAACCCACCTGAACCCTTTCCCAAATCTGGTCCTGAGGCCCTCCCCGCAGCGCACCTCGCGGCTGCTGCTGGACCTGGGCTTTCCAGGCGATTTTGCGGCGTTTCAGAGACTCCAAAATTCATCCAGACTCCCTGCACGAGACGCTTCGTCAGAGGAGGGCTCAAACTGTAAGAGAAAATCCTGGACTAGGAACAAAGGGACAAGCAGCTAGGGGTGGCCGGGTGGCAACAATCATGGCGTTACCAACCGCGAACACCGGCACTGCAGCTGGCGCTCCAAAAGCCCACCCCTTGCTGGAATGCAACACCCACCCCAAACCAAGAAACATCTATTTCGCAAACCCCTGAAACTGTTCATAAACTCCGTCAAACCCTACAGCTGTTGGTTAATCTCGATGTGCATCCATCGACGTCTTGAAACCTGAAGGTTGACAGCCCAAGTATCGACGAAGCCTATGTAGCACCAGTAAGCGTGTGAAGCCCCACAAAATCCCAACGCCGAAAAATGAGACCCAAAGCCCGAACCCTCAAAGCCTTAAGCCTTCTGATCCTTCCCACATACCGCAAACCATGCAAACCACAACACCTGATCCCAGCGCTACCAGCTCCAGCATGAGACATTCTGGGGACCATGAACCCTAAACTCCTAAACTAATCGTCCAAAACTCTAGCATGACACTCTACTGCCCCGTAGGTTCTAAACCGATCAAGCCCATGACGCTGCCGTCCCGGACACACCACAGCCCTAACCCCAAGACCGTGTACCGTGATCTTGTAAGTCCAGCTTCCCCAAAAAAAAATCGCCTGAAAAGTCGGCCTAAACCCCAAATGGGGTTCTTGTTAAGGGATTTAACTTAAGTTACCATAGTAGGAATAGGGATCTCTAGTAAATACTATGGTTTCGGGTTGATGGTAACTTAAATTGAACCCGTTCACAAGAACCCAGAAGAGCCCTCCGGGCCCTCGAACCGTCCGCAGGCTCATGCCCAGCGGGTCCGTCTCCCCCGGCTCGTCCTTTTTGAAGCTTTTCCGGGTGACAGGAAGAACTTAGAGTCAAGGTGAAAGGTTTTGGGCTTTCTGTTTCAAGACATTCGGGCTTTTTGTTCCCACCCGCCCGGCTGGCAGAGTCGCACCACAGGGAGTTGGACTAAGAGACACGGTTGAGGGGAGAACCAAGGTGGCTGACATGCTCCCAGAAGAAGAAAGGCCACCACCAATGAGAGGTTTAAGGCTAGGGGTTCTATACTGGAAGTTCGGAGTTTGGGGTACATTTGGGAATTGGGGATCTGGGGTCTGGGGTTTCGGGCTCCTGACCTCTTCTTGCGGTGGCCGCAAAGGCAACTGTAACTGAAAGAAAAAGGGGTTCGATGGGTTTCGGGCCATTTTCGGGAATGAAATGAATTCAAGAGTTGGGCTTGCAATGCTTTTTTCTGCCTTTGGCACCCCGCATCTAAATAAGAAAAAACAGAACATGAAGATTCCGTTCCATCTACGCGAATCGAAGCTTGGTGGACGTTTACAAAGGAAGAGAAGTTCGAAAGCCCAAACCCCGGTCGAGTGGCCAAAGCTGTTGGCTGCAGTGCTGGTGGGGAAAGAGGCTTGAAGGAATCAGGGGGTTCTGAGGGTAGAGTTGCCAAAGCCGGAACGCGAAAGCGACATGATCTTTCTCTGCCTCGTCCGGCAAGCTGCAAGGCTTCTTCTCATTCACTTCTACACCCGTGGCACATATCAAACCCACAGGGCCTAAATCACGGAGCCAAGGACACTGCGCAGGAGCAGCAAGAGAGTTGAGTCTTCTCCGGCAGGGAGCAAAATCTGAACCTTCGTAACCCTTCCGAATCTGGAACTCCTGTATTCCTCTGTTTGTGTCATCGCCTCTATTCGTGACCTGATACATGTATGCATGTACGTGTGTGTATATATATATACACATACATATAGATAGTTGTCTATCTTATCATATTATCTATATATTGTATAACACATATACACTCCTTCATATTGAAAGTGTACAAAAAGCACATACGATCTACATATATATATATATATGTGTATATATATATATATGTATGTACATACGTATGCATGTGGCATCAGTGCATGCATGTGTGCGTGTGTGCATGCATGCAGTCATGCATGCACGCATGGGATGTACTGTACTGCAGTGTCTGCCTTCCTGTGCACAGACGTTTGTGGGAATCCTCCGACAGCAGATCATGCTCTTCAAGCCACGAGAAGCTTAAACGCTAAATCCCGGCTCATCCATGGAGTTAGAAGGGCTCCCGGCTTCCGGGGTTTGACCATAGGCTAGGGTCGATGGGTTCTGGGTTTGGGTTGGCTTGGTGTTCGGGTGGCTCCTCAGACCCCGTTGCAGTGGACGCCTTCAGTTGCCTCAACAGCTTTCAACAGCTTCTCGAAGGGCAGGCGCCCATTCCTTGGAGTTACGCAGTCGTAGCACGTGACGAAGTTGTAGCGGCAGCCAAACATCTTGGTGAGAGAACAGCTCTCGGAGGGCCCGCCTCACAATTCACAACTTAGACGAGCCTGGAGAGATCTCTGGGTAACGAGAGGCAACCAGCACATTTTGAATTTCGGAGTCAGCGCTGCAGTAAGTGGCCCTTCAGGCTACTAGCCTCAACCCAACATAAAGTCAAAAAATCCATGTAAGGGTGCCGCAGCGCGAAGAAATTCTGAAAGGAAGTTAACAAAGATTCAGGAATTAGCTGGTGTAGGAGATTCTAGTCCGGCCTATCGGCATGATCTCCACGATTCGCTGGTGCAGCGCCTCGTTCAGCCAGCGTGCCGCATTCCACAAGCCGCCGCCGTGCGCTGCAATGATGGTGCTCGCCGCACGTATCAGGAACACTTGGTCGAGGTAGGGAATGGTTCCCGTGTTCACGTATAGAATGGTAGTATCTGCGTAACGCTTCGACAGTTCGGTTGCAAGCTCCAGGCCGTTTGCAACACCCCGATTCTTCCCACAGCTGTCGTCAAGCGAAGGAATCTTGTGGCAGTCCGGGGGTATGCGCGATATCCACAGGTAGAAGTTGCTTTGCCTTGCATCGATCTTGCAAGCCTTCCCGTTGAAGAGGTGCAAAGAGTATTCTGCCGATAGTCTCTGCATAAAGTTACAGGCATCACCATAGCGTTTCGGGACGCGCCCCCATTCAGACTCGAAAAAAGGCAATGCTGCCTGGGTTTCTGCTACGGACACGACGTGCTTGCAATTCCACTAACATGCTCCATGACAATCACTGCTTCTCTTGCAAAGTAGACAGAGGGTCAATCAAAAATTGCAGCGAAGCAGCCATCTGATGAGCCAGAAGTAGCGGTGACCGCCCCTCGCAGAGACCCGGCTGGTTGAATCTGGTCCAGTGAGGCCCAGTCATTCCGGCAGGCCCAGATACCAGGTACCTCACAAGCTGCACATACGGCTCCGCCTTCACCTTCAAGGAAGGAAAATCTGCAGAGTAGGAGGCGGTAACGATCTCGGCGGACAGTGCCTGCCAGTCCTCGTAGAAATGGGGCAGACTTGTCTTCTGAGCCGAATATCTCGATCGGCCAAAGCCGTTGTAAAGGACCACTCTGGTCTCCTCTCTGCTAAAAGTCTTCGGCAAAATGTGCTGCACGATGAACAAGTTGTCCTGATCGGCCTGGCAATGCCCCGGGTTGCCCGTGTTGCAGTCGCCTGTCGACATAAAGGTCAAACCTTCACGGGCTGCAGATCTATTTTGCACACCCCACTGCAGGGACGCAGAAACGTGGTCAAGTAAAGACACATTGCCAGGGAGCCTCTCAATGATTGTGATCGGTTTGCTGAGCTGCGTGGCTCCGAGCTCACGTCGAACATCTAGGTTCTGAAGGGGGTGTCGTGGAGACAACTGACTGAACAGCATCCTACGGTTCACATCTCTGCGCAGGTTGCACTGCGCAACCCAACTCAAGGTGCCACTTGGAGATAGCAACTCCAAAACATCCCGAAACTGGCAGACATAGACTTGTTGCTTGGTGAGGTGGCGAGCACAGGTGATGGTCGAAACTCCAGCGCCACAGATTTCGAGGCCATGTCCACGAAGCTTCTGCTTCCACCGGCTCATTCCCAGGTGTTCTTCCTCGCACTGTCGGAAAGGTGGCAGGGTCTGCGGGGTGAAGCGATATCGATCTGAAGCTGCCAGGGGCCGCCACTGTTTGCCCAGCTGCGCCTGTTCTTCTCCGAGGCTCGGCTCACTCCCCGGGGAGCTCTGGGTAGCTTGCGTTGTGTCTGAGTGTGTCGTGGGGGGGGGGACCTCCGGCCAAGTGGACGGGCGGAGACTGGTTGAAAGGGCGCTCGAGGTGCTAGAGCTGAAGCTTCGCCCATCCGAAGCTGCCGGCAGTGTGCCTTGCGTTGCGGAGCTTGGGAAACCAGGCGGGCTCTGCGTGGTGGACATAAAGTCGAGGCTGGATGATGTCGCTGTGTCCTTGCTTGTTGTGGAGACGGGCTTGGGAGATGCTTGTGAAGGAGGAGGCGCCGGAGGCGCGCGCGCCCCGTTGAAGTGCAGTCCCAGGCGGAGCTTCTGTCGAATAGACTGGCTGAAGGCTGAAGTGAAAAGGTATGCGGATATAAAAGCCTCGCTTGCGCTAGAAATGCAACATCAGGCTCGAATTTACAACCCCTAAACCCGAGCGTGACACTTCAGTCGAAATCGGGAAGAGTTCGGCGTAACCTCAGGGTTCAGGTCCCGCTGTACCAGAGTTTACTACTCAACTGCGCATCTTACGACGAACACTAAAACCGAACCGAGGTGTTCGAGGCTCTTTATAATCTTTAGATAGCCCGTAGAAGCCCGGAAGCCCTGGCCTTAGGGCTTCGAGGGGCGAGTTGGACCAAGAAGCCATCGCTGGCAGCAGCAAGCTGGCAGCGATCTTCTTGGCCCAGCCATCAGCCATGCCAGCAATTCGGCAGCCGGCGCAGGTTCGGCGATTAAGGGTATAAGGGCTCGAAAGTTCAAGGTTTAGCGCCTTGAGGGATTCAGTTAGGGCTGGCAAGCGCAAGGGCTTGAGCTTGCGACCGAAGCCTATGCCGGGGCGGAGACTTAATGAATTTGACATTAGAATCAAGTTGTGGACATTCTTCCATAAGTTTATGGTACTATTTACGAAGTTGCGTAGTGTTTATTCTGTCCACAGGGTTCCACAACGGACAACTCCCGGTGTTGGAAACGGGTTGGATCCTCGAACCCTGGCAGTGCAACTAACAACTTCAGTATCAACAAAAACTGCAATCAAGACTGAATGAGATAAAACAACAAACTATAAACAAAAGGCCACGGGAGCATTAGACTACCCCTCTTGGAACGATCTGGTCCAGTGCACGGAACTAAAACAAAAAACCAGAACAAACCCAAATCCCATAATGCCAACCCTGGACACGAAAAAAAATTGGATGCGCTTCAACATACCACCCATACAATTCGAACCTATCCCTGTCTGCTCGACAGCCAGAACCCACCCCTCATAAAGTCTTTTTTGCTACTGGGCTCACGTCTAGCCAGACCACTCTCCTGAAGCCTGAACACGGAACATCAGTAAACACCGCACCCTTGAACCCACCCCCGGGGAGGTCCTCGGCCGGCTCACCGTCGGAAGGCTCCTTCCCACGATGCGAACGTGCCGGACTTGCTTCGCTGAAGTGTTTGGGAATCTTGATGTGTATTTTTTGTGCATGCTTGGCTCTTCGGGACTTCTCCTGTTTAGGGGGAAAAGTGTGAGGATCTAGTCTCACATCGGTTGGTGAGCTTTCGTGGATGGAGAAGAAGTCCTTGGCGAAAGTGCCGGCAACACGGCACCGTCGGGAGGCATGCTCCCCGAAGCACCCTTCCCATCCAGAAAACAAAACCCAACTTTAAGCAAAGCCGACTTCGGTGTCGATATGTGGGGATTTCCGACAATAGGGTTCCCTAATATAGTCCCCTAAATAGTAGGATCCTTATTATAAGGACCCCAAGGTAAAGTTCCCCCCTCAGTTACCGCAGTTCGTCGGCATCTGAAGGTCGGCTCTTAAATATCTCCAGCTGCGACGTGACATCTCAATGCAGGGAGGCGTTCACGTGGGGGTCGGAACGGGCAACGACAGCCGAGTCGCAAAATACGCACGTGCTGGGTGCTCAGCCGCTCAGCAATGAAAAGAAGGTTCGTGGCCATAAAATGGCCCTAATCAAAGTGAAAAAATGGCAATTTAGTGGGTGGAGGCCTCGCCTCCATCGTTTGACGATCCCTTCAGATCGTCCATTTCACGCAAGGCAATAAACCACTGACGACAACACAACTCTCTGCAGTTCTCGAAGCCTGACTCCAACGACCTACAGAACCCTAAATCCCTAAATACCCAGACCCTCAACCCTTCAACCATAAAACCCCGAAAAACCCTTGGTCCAGACTCCCAAACGGCTCTCAAACTTCGAGTCACGAGTCCCGACATCCGCGGGAACTCAACCGGGACTGCGAAGTCCCGATAGCAGTGGAAAAGGCAAGTACAAGCAACAACAGCACCAGCAACAAGCAGCAGCAACAACAACAACAACGACGACGACGACGACAACGACGACGACGACAACAACAACAACAACAGCAACAGCAACAGCAACAGCAGCAGCAGCAGCAAAAGCAACAGCAACAGCAACAGCAAAAGCAAAAGCAAAAGCAAAAGCAACAGCAACAGCAGCATTATCAACAAGATCATTGTTATCATGAATGTCATTATTATACTGTAATAACTGTACGATGTTTATTCCCCATTCTGACCTATATTCTTTGATTAACATTCTCAGATGTTGTATCCTTGTTTGTGATAATGATACTCCTACTAGTTTTGCCCCATCGTTAGAGCCTGGAGCACGCCGGACAGCATCTGCTGGAGCAAGCCCCGGTTCGCGCCTTGGGTGACGAGCGGAATCTGTAGGCGCGTCGGGCCCCTTCTGACAGAGACATTAGCTTTGGATCCGAACGAGTCCACTGCATAACTATCAAGAAAGAGAGGACTGCAAGGAGTCAGCAAGCTGCATCTCAAGTCGGGTCCGGGCAGGTCACTGTGCCCTCACCCTCCGCCTGCTTGCGCAAGCATGGAGGCTTTGGGCGGTGCTGGAGAACTTCCTCTCCTACAACTGCTCCTGCTTGTGCTACTGCAGCGGCGGCGGCTCCACCAGAGCTTTGGCCAGAAGACGGAGGTGGTTATGTTGGGGTTTGAGAACCTTGGGATTGGCTTCTTGGAGGTGGTACTTAAAGCGACGACGTTGACAAGACCCTCAAGCGCTTCACCTGGTAGGATTTAGTTTGGGCTGCATGGCTGCTGTCGGGATGCAGGCGGGGTTCGCCCAATGCCTTTTCCTTGGCTGGCACCGGCTGTCGACGCACAAGTAATGAACCTTCGAGCGAAGGCATGAAACAACATGCGAGCATGCTCCCGCCTCTCTTCCGAATCTGAACGGCATCCTGCATGAAGCAGAAGGACGAGGCAAACAAAAGACTGATCCAAGGCATCGTTAGATCCCTTGGCATGTGCTGATGTCCGCAGTCTCCACCGCCTTAAAGAATTCCTCAAACTTCAGCTCTCCATTCTGCTTGTTCTTGCAAGCATGACACTTGACCCAGCTGTATCGGCCGCCGAAAAGCTTTGCGAGAGAACAAGTCTCGCCGGGAGAACCTGGCAAAGCCAGCAGAACCCTGAAGACTCACAGGGCCGTAAAGTTTAATAATTAGGTGCTTGGGTCAAGACTTTAGGCTGATTGGACAACAAGTTCGACAACTTCGACCTATCGGCACGATCTCCACGATTCGCTGGTGCAGCGCCTCGTTCAGCCAGCGCGCCGCATTCCACAAGCCGCCGCCGTGCGCTGCAATGATGGTGCTCGCCGCGCGTATCAGGAACACTTGGTCGAGGTAGGGGATGGTTCCCGTGTTCACGTATAGAATGGTAGTATCTGCGTAGCGTTTCGACAACTCGGTTGCAAGCTCCAGGCCGTTCGAGACGCCACGATTGAGGCGATTCCGGCATCTGCTGGTCAAACGGGCCGGCCCATAGCAGTCCTGATCGACGCGTGAAATCCACAGGTAGAAGTTGCTGTGCCTTGCATCGATCTTGCAAGCCTCTCCGTTCAGAAGGTGCAATGAATATTCAGCCGAGAGTTTCTTCAGGAAGTTGCAGGCATCACCATATCGATCCGGATTGCTCCCCCATCTAGACTCGAAGAAGGGCAACGCAGCCTTAATTGCTCTTCCAGGGGGCTCGACACACGATTGGCCTCGTGAAGGAAGCAAAGCAGAGCCAGTCCAATTTCAACAGCGGTGACAACTATGATACTCTTGACACTCGACATGCGACTCGTCATACCAAACCTAGAGATGAAAAAAAAAGACTGCAAACCCTGCACAGCTACCCTCAAGCTTAAACTCGCCCAGGCCGCCATCTGATGCGCAAGAAGCAAAGGAGACCGGCCCAAGCAGGAGCTGCCTTTCAGGCTGGTCCAGTGAGGCCCTGTCATTCCGGCAGGCCCAGATACCAGGTACCTCACAAGCTGCACATACGGCTCCGCCTTCACCTTCAAGGAAGGAAAATCTGCAGAGTAGGAAGCAGTAACGATCTCGGCGGACAGTGCCTGCCAGTCCTCGTAGAAATGGGGCAGCCTTTCCTTCTGAGCCGAATATCTCGATCGGCCAAAGCCGTTGTAAAGGACCACTCTGGTCTCCTCTCTGCTAAAAGTCTTCGGCAAAATGTGCTGCACGATGAACAAGTTGTCCTGATCGGCCTGGCAATGCCCCGGGTTGCCCGTGTTGCAGTCGCCGGAAGAGAGGAACGTCACCCCTTCGCGAGTAGGTGCTTGCTTCTGGGCACGCAACTTTAAAGATGCCAGCACATGATCAACAAAGTCGACATTAGCAGGGATACTCTGCACGACTGTGATGGTTTTGCTGAGCTGCTGCGACCCGAGGTCTTTCCGAACATCGAGGAAGTGCAGGAAATGGCTGCGATGCAAAGGCTTGAACAAGGAATAAAGATCGACGTCTTTATGCAAAGAGCATTGGGCAATCCAGCGCAAGGTGCCATCTCCAGCAAGCACTTCCAAGACGTTGTTGAACTGGCACACATAGATCCTGGGTGATGCCAGTTCTCGTGCACATACAATGCTTGAAACACCGCCGCTGCAAATTTTAAGGCCACGTTGGTCCAGCTTTTGTTTCCAGCGATTCATTCCGCGCTCTTCCTGTTCACATTTTCGGAAAGGTGGCAGGGTCTGCGGGGTGAAGCGATATCGATCCGAAGCTGCCAGGGGCCGCCACTGTGAGCCCAGCTGCGCCTGTTCTTCTCCGAGGCTCGGCTCACTCCCCGGGGAGCTCTTGGCAGCTTGCGTTGTGTCTGAGTGTGTCGTGGAGCTACGGACCTCCGGCCAAGTGGACGGGCGGAGACTGGTTGAAAGGCTGCTGGAGGCACTTGCTGCTGCTAACTGCAGACTAGTCCTTGCGCCGAGGCTTGACTCACTCTCTGAGTGGACCTGCAGTGGTGTTGTGGAATCTTGGCGCGAAACATACTGGCTACCAGTGCTGTTGATGTTTTCGCGGCTGGGTGATATCCATGCGGCCTCGCTTGTCACAGCGGGAAGAGCTTGTCGCGCTGTAAAGCTAAGTCCCAGCCGAATCTTCTCTCGAAGGGATTGGCTCGATGTCGTGGCAAGGAAATAGGCAAACAGCGAAACCTCATCTGCTTCTGGCTTTCAAGCTGAAACTTTGTCACAAGATGCTTCCACATGGCCCTCAATCTCTATCTATCTTCCCACTTGCCAGAAAGCTTGTGGGGTGGTAGGGCTTAAGGTGTCAACTGCCAACGACCATCCTAACGGATCATAAGGCAAGAGGCCGTGGCTGTCGCCAGCAGAAAAACCGCGATCCGTCTGGGTCGATTCGTCAGCTGAACTGGGCCCAGCATTCCAACGAACAGAAGCTCAAGGCCCCTAAACCCCTGAAACAGTGAACCGTATGTTCATCCCCGCGGCGAACCTTTTGCAATTATGGTTGTAACCTGTTTAGCCACCCCTATCGCAACTCTTAGCCTGAATACTTAACATTACAGCAACCCTCGGAGTAACCCTTATAGTCAGCCTCAAATAAATCGCTATAGCAACCGTTATCATACCTCAAAAAATAACCCTAAACCCTAAACCCTTTTTGTGGGGAATCTTTGCCCCCACACTTCCTTGGACCTCAGGCCCTGCCCCCGGCCTCTCCGGCGCGGCGATGAACGGCACATTCCCCACACCCCAAACATCCCTCAACTGCGGTGTTTAGGAGCAGGTTTCAGGATTTTGTGGGATTTTGTGGGCTTAGAAATTCGTAGGTTTGGACTCTCGGCTTAGAGCTGTTTAGTGTCTCTTTGGTTTAGGTCCTGGTGTAAACTTAACCTTCAACAACAGATCTGAAGCACAGGCTCTCAACGGCAAGTAGTATTGTTGCCATCTCTAACTAGAGCTACGATGCGCATCAACACGGAACTTTCTGAGGCCTTAAGCAGATCAACCCTCGAGTTTAGAGCTTTGGCGTTGAGCGCCTGGGAATCAAACGCCGCGCAGTCCCCCCCGCTCGTGGGCTTGGAGAAGAGATGCTACCACAGCACCTAGCTGCCTTATCCAGTTGTTGAGAGAGGCCGACAGCCACAAGACCCGGAAGAAATCCGTCTGGGCCTCAGCAGGCGGCGACGCACTTGCCGGAGCTTGGGCCTCAGGCGGTCAAGCAGCCACTCATTACCGCCTTGTACTCAGTGCACGGCAGTATAGCTGCTAAGCGGACAATCATACCTTCTCTTTGGCTACTACTCGACCCTAAAGCTCCGCATGGTGGGAGCATGACTCTCTGTACGACACGTACTACTACATGGCCAGTTGCTTCCCCACTGCAAGTCTGTCTTGGCACGACATGCGAAAGCACGCACAGACGCGTAGCACATGATAGGTTAACCACTCATGCTTCCTCGGTGTCCTGCTTTTACGCGGGGTGCTCCTCGTTGTGCACGCAAGTAGGAGTCGCAATTATCTGTCATAGGCTGTTGCACAGCAGCTGGAAAGCAGGTAGGTTAAAGTTCCGTCAGTGGATCTTCTGACCCAACCGTGCCCGTGAAAGCTTTCTTCAATGACACGCTGACGTGTACGATGCAGCAAAGGCGGGCATTGTCACAATGCCAAAACTTAAAATATCTGTGCAAGTTCGCGAGGGTTGTAATTAGTCAGTTTCTCAGACTGCGACGCCTCAGTTGAGTCACCAGCATAGTGGCCGCTGCCGTGGTGACCAGTAGTAAGACCACGCCGCGGCGTTCATTGAAAGCCCCGAAGCCCAAGCGCTGGGAAGCTGATGCCCACCATGAGCTCTCGAGCCGAAGATCGGCACAAAGCCAGGAAGCAGAGGGAGTGTCTCCCGGCAGGTTCTGCGGCGCAAGGATGAAGAGGTCCCCAGGCCGCAGTTTCTCCCCGCTCGCACTCTTCAGGCACAGGTAAAAGGCCAGGCTCTCGGACTGGACCTCTGCCAAGGAGCCATGCTGCACACGGAGCGTCGGAGATACTCCTGCTACCCTCTTCCTGCCAAAGGGGGAGGGTGCGGCTGCGGAGACACGCTGCCACAGATGGTCGGCCAGCCAGGGGTCCTCCCTGACAAGCTTGCAATGGCCTCCTGCTCGATCCTGCTCCGCCAGGTTGAAGCCCAGTTGCTCGGCTGCCGAAAGCACCGCTGCACACTCGGAGTCGCTCAAAGCTTTCTCGAACTCCCACACTCCGGTGTTCTTTCCCAGTTTGCCTCAAATCAAAAAAAGACACTGAAAAGGATTTATTTATAAAAAACCCGCAGCACACACTCTGGGCCGGGTTGCTAACAGCTGCAGGTTGCGGAGCTGCCCCGCTGCCGAGCTTCTCCCGGCACAGCTCACTGAGCCCCTTCGCGGCCTTTGTGGGGCTCGCCTGGGCAGTGGATGGGATGTCAGGGGAACTCCAAACACGGGGGGCGGCTGTTTAACCCCTTTTCAATAACTCCGTCCTCCGTGGCCTGCGGCTGCGGCTGGGAGCTGGAGCTCGCGCCTCCGGCCGCCACGTCGGCATCTCGGGTGACAGGCGAGCCGGGACCACTGCCAGAGAGGAGTCCGGGGGTGACGGGACCTGCCTTGGCCGTGGGGGTAGGGGTGGCTGCAGCTGTTGGGCTCGACTTCGAGTTCTTGTTGCCCTTGGACTTCTTGGGCTTCATGGCCCCCGCATATGCGGAGACTCCCGGAATGAATTCCGGGGCGTCAGGCTTCATGGCCTTCGGCTCCCGCTGGGGCTTGTAGGAGGTTGGGAACGTCATCGCCGACGCGGGGACGATCACCGGAGGTGGGGGCGGCTGATAAGCCTGCCAGGCCAAGAGAATGACATGGGAACTGCAAGTGCAAGGATCCTCCATCAGACTACAAACAGAGCGGAAGCAAGAAGAAATCGAACAAGCTCAAGTGTACGAGCTTGCACTCATCGACATCGCTGCCTCAGGCCACACACCAGGCTTGAATTCTGCTGCGTCCTCACGGAGCTTTGATTTGGGCTCCTGGCCGAGGGAAGATGCACATGACAATCAGGGCACCCAAAACACAACGGAAACCATGGGGAGCTCTCACAACAAGCACTCCTATGGGAGACTCTAAGTTGGCACAACCAGCACGCTTTGCCGGAGGGCCACGTCGCTCTACTCTTCTTGCTCCCGAAGCACGTCACAGGGCTGCTGAGGATTGCTGATATACCGTGAAATACCCCTAAAGCCTTTCGCATCAAAGCCCAACTACACCTCGCACTTCAACCGGCGACCCCTAGACCGAGTCGATGCAACACGGAGAGGAGGGCATTGAACTAAGCACCATCCACGCCCACAGCGGGCACGGGGCTGGGGTCAGCAAAGTAAAAGCCCATCACACAGGGTGGATGCTTGCTGCGGGGGACAGGTCGGCCAGCATGTGCTTGACCAGATCTTACTACACACCAAACCTCAATACACATCAATGTTTGCGTGCTCCATCAATGTTTGCGTGCTCCTATTCGTGTCAGAGAGTCATGCAGCGGTCCTTGAAACCTCCGTGAAGACTTGAAACATGCTATGGCAGCCTGCGTCACCCAACATATCCGGAAATTGCCTCGGCAGGCTTTGCCCACTGCTGGCCAGGGACGAACTCCGTGGCAGACATGTTGAACTCCTTCCACCAATTGTGGGTGTCGGTCTCGGGTTTCTGGATGTTGAGTGTAGGGTTTAGGCATTGGCACAAAAATAAAGGCTCATGTAGGTCTTGGTCTGGAAACAAGTTCAAGCCGTCAGCACACACCAGAATCGCCATGGTCCAGGTGCCTTAAAGCTGCCTGCCCAATCCGCCGTGGCCCATCTATATCTAGAGAGAGAGAGAGAGAGATAGAGATAGAGATAGAGATAGAGATAGAGATAGAGATAGAGATAGAGATAGAGATAGAGATAGAGATAGAGATAGAGAGAGAGAGATAGAGAGAGAGAGAGAGAGAGCGAGGCCG